ATCGATATGAAATCGTTTCGACCTGTATGACATTTCAAATATTTAAACTCATTCTAAACTGAAAAGTATGTTAAAAAAAATTGTAGCCCGATTTTTTTCTTCTTCGCTCGTTTAGTCTCTCACTCGTCTGTTTTGGGCGGGTTTTCACAATATTCTCAAACGAACATGTATGAACTAAATTTACGTTGAGTTTCTGCATCTGTTTTTAACAGCTCCAAGATACTTAGTTGATTTGCTCTCATTTCTTTTCTCTCTTTCTTTCTATCTGTCTCTCTCTCTCTCTCTCTCTCTCTCTCTCTGCGTCATTCGCTCTATTGCTTTCATAAGCATTAGTTTTTATGGTAGCGTCCTTATACGTCATCCTTAATAGTTTCTCATAAGATGGAAGCTGATAAGTGCAATGTAGAGCAATTGAGTTTATGGCATAAATAGTCCATATGGACGGAGATTGATGTATAAATTTTGTAGCATTTGCATGGCCGATCCATTCACTAAAACATATTATTATCCATGGCTAGATAGATGATGTTTGTGTGTGTGTGTGTGTGTGTGTGTGTGCTTGTGTACGATGTGAGCATCGCGAGTAGATGCGAACAACATCATTTCGCTTCGCCTGCTTTGGATTGCCATCTCATCATAAAATGGGAAATGTAAATAAAATTTTGCGCATGGTTTTGAAAATGAAAATCACCAAAAATGAAATGGAGATAGAAACATTGGCGAGTAAAACAGAGAATCAACCTAACGAATGTACGAAAATTAATCTATATTTAGCGTTTCTCACATTTTGCGGTCAAATATACAATGTATTTAATAATATTGCATATGAATTCATTTGGTATTTATCAAATGAAAAAAAAAATTGGATAATTACACGCTGAAAACAGTGCATACACACACAGAGTGGAAAAACCCATGGCGCAAAAACATTAAACGAAATTCTCTGGATAAATATCACACTCGCTATGTGGCCATTTTCATCAATGTCATACATGAAATCATGCCGTGTGTTTTTATGCTTTAAGTGCGAATTATCTTTCATTGTATTGTAAATGTATCAAACTCGCTGCTTTGTATGATTAGATTGAAGGGAGTCCACACCGAGTTTCTTACACACTCAATGATGGTTCATTGTAACTTAACACTTGACTCTTGTTTCGGTTTGATAATGTCGACATTGTTCGAAACGATAGGACAACCGTTTAGTGCATATTTCTCCATCATCACAATTGAATCGAAGTTTTATAGAATTTTATCAACAAAATAACAATTGGTACATTTGCAATATGGCTAAAGCATAACAAACTATTTTGTTAAATTGGCTTATTTGAAATTCACATGTTTCGCAAACAATCGGAGCTTTAGTATCGCTTTTTTTATTTGATTTTTTTTTATATCGTGTGGATCATAAATGTGTTTTGCTTTCATTTGAGTGCGTTAGTTACTTTCAGTCAATATTTTGTTCATTCATTCGTTGTGCCATCTTACATGCAATTGGCTTTAATTAAATTTGATTACCTCGAATTGAGCGTCAGCATTATGAATAACGAGAAAAAAAACACAGCCATCTATCAATTTGAAATCAAGGCATCCACCACCTTGAAGTTAAATTGTGGTTTGGGCCCTTTCAACGCGTTTTGAATTTGATTCGAGTCAATGCAACATATGCATTCAATTGGTCGCAATTCTTATTTTCTCCTTTACCCTAATAACTTGTTGACGCATTTAAAAGAAGAGCCAGAATGCGCTGTCAACTTTGAAAAAGTATAGAATTTTTTTCTCTCGAAACATTTTCGATTCGATTGTCTCATTGAATTAATTTAGTCTATTGTTAAGTTTCTTCGTTTAAAAAAAAAGAAACAAAAAACAAAGTTTGTGAACAAAGCAAAGGCAAAATAAAGGCAGACACTTTTAAATAGTCGGACTCAAAGACACATCGTTAATGCTTATTGTCGCCTACATTGTTCTTCGTCGTTTTTTTTTCTCCTTCTTCTTCTCTCGGTTCTGTTTTGTTTTTCTTTCATTTATAGTTTTGAGGACGAAATAGATAAATGTGTCACATTCACGCACGCACATATATAATTCGTTCCAACAATTTCGTATACTTTTCACGCTGATAAATATTTTATAACGATATCCAATTATAAGTGAGTTGAAATATTCAAGAAAAATTGCATGTGCGTTTTGCGGCTTTTGTGTCTTGGTACTCTTAGCCAGAGAATGGTACGCTCGTGTCCGCTCCCATTTATGTGTGCATGTGTGTGTTTTTTTTGTTGGATTGGTGCGTGAAAAATAAGTCATAAATGAAATTATATATAATAAGTGATAAGCGTTCACAAAACTGCCTACCAAATGTGACACATAAGCACATATAAATGTGCACACATCATATGCATCAGCATTACAAGCACAACGCTGTTGAAGGCCAAAAAAAAAGTATTTTTCGTTGTTAATTCTGACAAATAATCCATTTATCTTTACTCCCCTTTTTTTTGGTTTTCGGTTTTGTGTGTGTGCTGGAAACACGATGCGCTGCGGTGCGATGCTTAACGGCCACTCTCGTTCTCTCACTTTCTCTGTATATTTCACCGAAGTCTCTTGGTTGCAATTTACTTCGTTCGAATCGTATTTTAAAAAGAGCATATGACGATGATGCGATGATGAAAATCGGTATGTGCCATTCAGTGTAAAAACAGCTGTACCACGCCCGGCGTACATATTCAGCTCTATGCGCCGAATCTCATGCACACTGAAATATCACTATTGTTCACATTGAATTCTAAAATTCTGATAGCAATCGTTTTTGATGTCAGTCTGTCGTAACTATGTATCGAATGGCAAAAAAAAAACACACACACACAACCGTTTTCGTTTTTAATGTTCAGTAAAAACACTTTTTTTGTGAATTCTTGTTGGCCGTCTGTCTCGTTTTGGCACTTTAAATGCTCGTGTCGCATGTCTTTGGTCGTATGATTTTCGGTCTCTTTCTGATTTTGGTGCGCTTTCAATCTACACTTTGGCTGCTGGTGGAAAATTATTGTTTAGACGTGATGTACATTTTATTGTTGGTAATATTGTCGCTTCTGCTTTGCATCACCAGAGATGCAATTAATAGCATTTTGTTCATTTTTTTTCTTGAACCCCAATACTTTGCTCGCGTGGTGTGTTGAATGTGCATGTAAAGCTCTCTTTGTGTTTCATAAACCATTCAAATAATATTATTTCCTACCATGCCACTGTAATAAAAATTGTTTGGATTTTTGTTAATTCTCTTTCTAACGATTTCTGCTAGTCTTACGAGACATTCGGCACAAATATTATTCAAAGAGAGAGAGAGAGAGAGAGAGAGAGAGAGAGAGAGAGAGAGAGAGAGAGAGAGAGAGAGAGAGAGAGAAAGGGAACACTATCCACATATAATTGCAGTTTTGGATATTAAGTGCTAGATTTCAATTTTTGCACTTTATTTGGTTACGGCTGGAGTTTTCATTTTGGTTGGGATTCGTTAATTTTTTCCCTTCTTCCTCTCTTCATTTTTCCACTGTTTTCACTTGCATCGAAACTGTGAATTTAGTTATTTGTCTTTGCAGTATTTGTCGGTTTCCTGCCGCGCACATTCTCTTACTCTCCTTTGCCTTCTCTCGTCCCTGGTCTCTCTGTTTAGTTCAAGTGTGTACATTTTTGGCAATACATTGGACGATGGAGGCAAAACGAAAAAAAAGGTTTTTGTACGTATAATGAATTTTGAACGCAATTATTCGCTATTCCGAACTAAGCAACGACCTTACAATGATTTTTTATTTTATACACATTCCCGAAAGATCGAAGGCGAGCGATGGAACGAAAGAAAGAGAGAGAGAGAGAGAGAGAGAGAGAGAAACATGCACCAACGACCAACACACTTAATCGTGGTTTATTTTCCATTTGTACCAAAAATCGTTTTCCATCTTTGTCTTTCACTTTGTGATGTATCCGTTTTCTGCTCAATTTCGATACACAGAAATGATTGGTGTAAAGCAATCAAAAAACTTTTTTTTTTTTGTTGCAAAACAATGCAGATCATTTCAATTTAAAATGTTGTAACAAATAAAAGCAGAAATCGTTTTGTTGAAACAGAGAAAAAAAGCGCACACATTTTAAAATGCTTCTGTCTCTCTGGTTGAATAAATCTTCTTTTTTTTTGTCATTCGCGCTGAGCTTCTGTGCGCGTTATTTTTTGTCTGTCTCTCTCGTTATCTTGTGTTTCGCTTTTCTGTTTGAAGTCTCTTTCTCTCGGAAATATTTTTGTCAACGATACACGATAGATGTTAACGACAACGAATAGCACAGCCGACGGCAAATTAGTTGCAGCATTTACCGTCGTCGTTTTGTCAAAGCATATATATAATAACCAATGGGATACTTCATTCCCAGTGTATCTATGTGACATAGGAATACCAATTTCATTCGTTTTTTTTTAATCTCACAATTGCCTAATCATCGAAAGCTATCTACTAGTTTTCATTCTTGCCAATATCTGAGAATTGACCATATAAACGAGCAGCTAAATCAGAAGGAATAGTTTTTTTTTTTAAATGAGATAGCTGAAAAAAAAAGAATCTAGACGAATGGCAATCTGAAAACGGATCCAGCAGAAGCTAAGAAAAAGAAAACACATTCACGTCAAGTCGCTATTTATAATTTTTAGTTCAATTATGATTTTCTTTATTCTTTTTTTTTTTTGATTTAAACGATATATTTATATAAATTTCTACAAATCGCTTTCTAAGTTCTCTTGTATTTTCTATATGTATATGTGTGTGAGTGTGTTTTGATGCTTTTTTTTCTCTTTCTTGTTGTTGTCAAATTTGAATTGTGGTTGCGGTTGAATTTTCATCAATCATACTGAGTTGTATTGCCTTGATGATGGTTTCAATTTTTTATTATTTTCTGTTTTTCTTTATTTTGTGTTATATGCCTAGAACTTTTATGTATTAGTTATTTTTATTATAATGTTGTTGTTGTTTTTTTTTTGTTGTAATAGCAATATTTTAATAATTTTGCTTTGTTTCTTTTCATTTGTTATTAGTTGAAATAAATCTAATATCACATTTAAATGCAACGCAGTGTTGCTCAAAGTTTTGTGTATGTATGGTTTTTCTTTCATCCTTTCCATTTTGTGTTTAATGTTTGCTGTTTTTTGTTTTTTTTTTTTGTTACTTTAAACTTTTTTTAAGCATATGATGGTTGGTTTTTTTCATATATATATATATAATTTTTCATATATTCTACAGTGAACTCTTGCCTAGCAGACCAATCAGAGCTGGCCCTTCTTAGAATGGAGCCGGAACGACGCTACCACCACTACCGCATCCATCACTGCTGCAACAAAAACATTTACATAATGCCAATATTGCAACAATACACCGCAATGCTGTGTGCTGAGCTTCTTTTAATTAGTATATTTTGATCGCTATAATATATTCTTGAATATATTGCCACACATAATTTACTACGAGATAACAAAGTTTTCAATAAATTCGAACACAATTGTTGGCAATGCAAAAACTTTTTAAAAAAATAATAATAAAAGAAGAGTTTTTCGATTTAATTATGTTTGCGGACCACAATGTAGTTCAATTGTTCAATTTGATTCGCATACACACTCACACTGTTATTGTATGCGTGTGAATGTGTGTAAAAATCAAATGGCTCGGGGACAAAAGGTGGTCCGCTGATTTTGAGTTCACTGTAGATTTTGGTGTTTCATCTCGGTTTTTGAAGTGTACTGCTTTTTTTTTGTTTTTAAAAATTTCAATTCATTGTTTTTTATCTCATTTTTTTTGCTGGTTTTTATTTCCTTGCTTGCCTTCTCTATTTGTTTAATAGTTCTTTTTTCAGATTGTGTCTGTATAATGCTTATTATTGCATGCATTGGTTTTTAATTTTCTTTCCATAAATTTACTGGTATATAAAACACAGATAAATACAAGAATAAAAAACTGAATCAAAACAAAAATTATGTGTGGGTTCTTGTAACTAAAAAAAACAATTTTTGCTTTCCTCTTCTAGTTGATTGACGTTTGGTCAGCATTTTCTTTTCATTCTTCATTTTCTTCTACTAGATAAATGTACAAATGCTTCGTTTCAAATACGTCTTTAAAATATAATTTGCTTATTTCAGTATATGTATTTGGGTTTTATTGATGCTCTTCACATTTAAAAAACGAACAAACAAATAAAAGAAAAAGAACTACGAGGATTAAAGAAAAATTAAAAACAAAATCATAAAAGAAACAAAAAAGAAATAAGAACATGATTTTGACTGCTCTTTAGATTCATTTTACAGCCCCATCGTCCATCGAATACATTTATGGAATTTGTGTATGTGTTTATTTCTGAGAAAGAAATGTCGATGGCGCAAGGGCACTAACTACTGCATTCACGATTTCTCTTAAACTGATAGTAAATATCATTTCACTATAGGCTAGAGTAGTAGATTTTATCAATTAAATATTCAATCTTAGGTAAGCTGCCTACTTTTCAAAGCTGATTATACTCACATTAAAACGTAAACGCATTACACCACATTAGAACGCTTTTTTTTCTCTATTTTTTTTAACTATTTGCTTTTTTTCGCTTAAATTTTTTTTTTTCGTTTTGTTTTGCTATCAAATGTATGTTTTTGTTTTTGCTGCTCTGTTGCAATCAGGAAGGAATGTCAGTTTGATCATTTGATTTTGCTGAATATAATACGTTATTAGTGAATGGTATTTTGAAATGAACAATTGCGAATGAGTGTATGTCTTTGTGTGTGTATGTGGAACAATATGTAAATCATCGGTAATTACAGCACAATGTTCATACATTGGCTTTACAAAACATTATCGATTGCTATTTAACTATATGCAATTTACATGTTCTAATTTCACATTTGCGACTTTATTTTTCGTTTCTTCTGTTTAGTTAAATCGTTTCTTGAGTTGCCATTCATAAAATATACACGTATTTGTTGTTTTTTTTTATTGTTGTTATCTATTCGTTATCGCGGGGCATTGCAAATAACCCTCACATTCGATTTGTTTAAATATTTCTAGAATCCTGCATTTTTGTTTTTGTTACTTTTATTTTCTGTCACACATTTTGTTTTTACTTCTATTTCTTTTTTATTTTTGTTAAGAAACTGTGTGTATGTCTATATTTTTTTATTTGTGAGTTATTCAGTTTGTTGCTCTGTATGTTCGATTGTTACCTCAATTTCAGAATTTTGAATGCCTCGAATGTAGATTGCTGTCAGCAGATACTATACATCACCTGGAGTGTTGTATGCCTTCATTGCATCAGGAGTGCAGCTCGGATGTTCAGCAAAAAAAAAAAACAGATGAAAACGATGTGAGATGATGTGCATGTATGATGTTGTGTGTACGTCATCGTCGTTGAGCAGTCCTTCAATTATGCAATTCACCATTGAATATTCAGTGGAAAACGGATGATGTGAGTTGAGGAAAAGCAGTGGCAGATGCCATCAAATATGGATGCAATCGATGTGAACGTAAATATTGCCGATATTTTCCATTCAACGCGTTCAATTTGTCGTCACGATAGGTATTGTTTGGTGTGGCGTCGGGCAGGCCAGCTTGAAAGTCCCTTGGAATGGCCGCCATTTGACTATGTTCCCAATTATCTAAGCACAGCCGGATGTCAGCAAGCGAACTATCATTGCTATTTGTATTGTTGGTATTTGCATTATTGATACTAGATGGATTATTGTTGTTGCTATTGGCTGGATAATACGCCTGTTGCGACATCTGAGACATTTTTTGTTGTTGTGTTGCCTGTTGTGACAACGAACGTTGGTGGATTTGTGGATTTTGTTCTAGTTTTTGGCGTTCCATCGACTGAGAATGATGATTGTGTGTATGTTGGCTATGGCTATGGCTATTGTGGCTGTGATTATGATTATGATTTGAATTTGGATTATGTTGCAGCGATTGACTTTGTTGGGCCGCCGATGTATACGACGTTGATGTTTGTGTAATTTGTTGTGAATTTCGGCTACTTCGTCGACTTTGAGTTGAATTTCGTGACGACGAATTGGGCATATTATTTATAAATGGGCTGCGACGTTGTTCGCTTTCTATTTTACGAAAATAGCATGGATGTATCATCAATAGTAGCGGTTCGACGCGTGCACCGGGCGGTGGTTTGGCTTGATTTGGTAACTCATATTCTACGCTGCAATCAACATGCAATGGAACGCTAAAGTCTTTTTGTGGAACTTGTGCCGATTGTAGTCTCGACGGTTGCGGAATTGGGATCAATTGTGTTGGCTGTGTCGAGAGTTGGGCCTGTTGATGCGATTGATGCTGTTGCCGTTGACGTTGTGACACCGCACCCAAAAGGCCATAATTTGAATAGCATGCCGTCATTGCCATCTTACAAAATATCTTCAATTTAATAACAGATCTATTACGCGACTATATATGCATCCGCACTTGTTTCGTGCACACAATTTATTTCTTGTTTTTACTAGAAATTTTTTTTTTGTTATCTCGTTTTCTCGCACCAATGGCACGGCAACATCCAGAAAAATTCACAGCTTTCGATTTTGGTTAATTTTTATGTGTATTTTATTTGATTACTTTCTTTCTGTGTTTCTTTGTTTTTCGTTCGCAAAGAATTGATCTCACCGATTTCACGCCGCGTATCGTTTCACACTAATGAAAAACAAATTCTTATTTTGTCTCGTGAACGTAATTGCCCTTTTTATATTCTTTTTTTTTTTGTTAAATATTTTTGGTATGTTGTAATAGACAATTATATCGATTCAGCTCGTTTTTTCTTCTCAAAAACACTATTTTTTTCTCTTCAATTTTAACTCCTTCTTTTCTTTTTTTTTCTTCACTAAAATCAACTAAATATTTTTGTTTAAATTACATGTAAAATTATTAAATAATTGGCACATTTCACGTTGGAATATGTAAACTTCAAGTAATGCTCTTTTCTTTTTCGATTGGTTTTGTTTCGATTATTATTTTTTTCTTTACTTGTCGTACATTCAGCGATTTTTTTTTCTCCTTTTTTCGCGTCGGGTTTTTCTGTTGAATGTTGGTCGTGTTTATCTATTTAGCAATAGATTTTCAGAAGCCAATTTAAACATGCTCTTTTTTTCTTATGTTTTATGTACTCTTTTTTTTTGCTCTTTTACTTAAAATGTATTATTCTGATTAATTTTCAATGTATCACACACATACAATACTTTGACGCTACGTTCTGCAGCGCGATTTTGGTCATAATTCTTTTGTAAGCTGCTTTACTTGATGTATTTAAAACTGTTTTGAAGAAATGCCATTGAAGCACTCAAACACAATATATATAATTCTTGGTAGATTGTTATGGATGTGGTTGTGGTGGTGGTTGTGGTTGTTGTTTTTTCGTATTATTATTTTTGTTGTTGCTTTATATTCTTTCTTTATGTCAGGAACATTTATGCAAAATCGATGAAATGAAAAACTATGAAATATAATTCACTTATATTTATGTTCGTCTATTACATATAAATACGTATAACATATACAAAAGGGGTAGTGGCTGCAAGAACTCAGTCTTTTAATCATCCAAATCAGCAAAGAAATGAATCCATTTATATGAATACAATTTGCGATGGTGCACAAATTTCAAAAACACGCACAATTTGATCGTAATTTTCATTCACAAACTCTCAGTCTTCAGGATCAAATTCAACATAATTTTTGTTGTTAGAATTTGTGTTGTTCTAAATACTTTCTTCGTCTATATTATTTTTTATATCTCCCGGAAAATATGAAACAGTTTTTACTCGTAATTATTTGGTCACTATTCCGTATTGAGTGTGGTAGCGATAGTCTTTTGATGTCGGTTTCACATAAAAAACTTAAACTGCTGCCTTTTCTTTTCGGTATCTGTACTTTTTTTGGTTGCCCGATTTCAACTAATTCAATACTGTGGTCGATTCTACGGTTTCTAATTTATGTGTTGGGTGTTTTTCAATAACGAAAAAAGAAAACGAAACTGGAAATGTTTTTCGTATTGAACATAGAAAACCGATACAGCGAGAGATAGAGAAACAAAAACCGAAAGGAATTATGCGCGAACTGTTTGCAAGTGTCTCTCTCCGCGTGTGTGTGTTTTTTCTTGTTCTTCTCAAATTGGTTTGGATTGTATTTTATAACTCTAACTATCACAAAAAAATAAATCAAAGACAGAAAAACAGCTGAGCCAACGAGCTCAATTGTGTGTTGTATACTTCTCGGGCTCTGCGCCTCGACTGCAGTTACGAAAGTGTTTGAACCGATTTGTTGTTTTTTTCTCCTCTTTTGCTTATTCTGTTTCAGTTGCTCCAATGATATTCGAACATACAGCCATTATGACATTCGGTCTTCAGTCGAGCGGCACCGTTCATGCACACACTGTACAATTGATTTGACGCACCAGCAGTTGTCTCACTCTCGTTAAAGTATTTGTCAATTTTATGCAGAAATATAAAGGCATTGAGAGGCCAACAATTCGCCCATTGAAAGACGAGACGACTTTTTGAAAAGCAACGAGACTAAAACAACATGCGCGAAAGAGACGAACTGATGTTACATCGGCATTGAGATATACGGGTGATCGTGTGAGCATTCTGTTGGACTTGTGAGACAGTTTCAAATGTACTTGCACAAAGCGCAAAGAAAACGAAATGGGGAGAAAAAGTGAAAGAGAGATGAGAAAATGAATGAAAGAAAGAAGAAGAAAAAACAACACACACCGCACCAAAGATCGAAAATATAATTAAATTATTTCTTTCTTCTCTTTTGAAATTCGTTTAGTTACATTTCGTTTAAATTAAATATCTAATGCTGAAACATTTGTTCCCCTATCGATTGATTGGGCGAGACAATCGGAGGTGATAATATGATGGGTGCATTTTCCAACTTGTTTTGAATGCCGCATATTTCATGCAATGCCAAGGACGAATATTTTGAAAAGTTGATAAAAATCCTTATCAACATCAACACTCGTTTCATTCATTTGAAGTGGAGCCCACTTGATAATATATTCATCTCTATTTTGGTGCATATAAAATTAAAAAGTCTATTGAACTTTTGATGCGAATATTTTTAATTTCGTAAAATTCACGAAAATAAATATACCGCATTGATAAGACATGAAAATGAAACGAAGAGAATGGGAAGAGCAAAAGACCAAAAGCAAGCAAAAGCAAAAGCAAATATATGTAATTTTCATTGCAGAACTACCGACCGTATTCAAATGGCATTGATGCTATAATAAAAAAAAGAAGGAAAGAAGTTTCAAGTTTTATGTGCACTGTGCAAAGACAATCTTCTTCTTTTTGCTCTGTGCTTTCGTTCGGCCACGCTCCAAATTTTAATCGATGCATTTATTCACTATTGAAAAAAAATAAATATTAATCGCTTGGCTACTTATATGTTAAACAGTTTTGAAGATTAAAAAAGTCTACGACCACTTTATTTTTATTTAATGACTTTTCCCGTCATCGAAATGATCGGTGTGGCACACAACTGCCCAGGCAATTTGAATAATACGATGATATTTTCGATGCGACCACGAACGACATGTACGCATTTATAAGTAATTCATGGCAAAGTTCATGTTATTATGAAAATGATTTAAAAAAAAATTCCGTCGAGAAACAAACAACAACAGTCTACCATAAATGTCGTCACAAATTGACGTATCGCATTTAGTATAGTATTTCTTTCGATTCTGTTCGTCGTTTATTTCGCTTTTGAAAGTTATTATAAACTGTCGACATATTTCAATTATTTCTCAATAATTTTGGTGACGAATCATTAAGCAAAGAGACAAATCGGTATTGAAAATTACATGATGTAAAAGCAAAAAAAGTTTGGGCAATAAATATGGTTTCTTTGAACCTGTCTCTCAAGTTTATGGCACGACGAGAGAGAGAGAGAGAAAGAGAAATGCATTTACATAAATTATGATGACTAAAACTGAAAGAACTCATCAAAGTATTCACTCAAAGAGAAGAATGTAATAGTCCTCATTTCGACTCAAAAAACGTGAGATTCTTCTGTTTTTTTTTTTTTTTGTTTAATTATTCGCACTTTGGCACAAATGATTATTATGCGATGACGAATTCGACTTGAAACATACACACGCCGCAAAAAAAAAATTGTTGATATTTTGTGATATGCGATGCAATTTGAATGACAAATCGAACAGAATGGGACGTAATGGAACAAGCCAAGAATATCCACATACATTTTGACTTTGTATGAAATCGAGATAAATCAAGGGATTGTGGTTCAAAGATAAGAGTTTTGTTGAACTTTAAAAGTTTTGTTTTCCTAAAAAGAAAGAGATGAAATTCCATGACTGCAGGTCATAAATTGAAAGAAGAAACATATACAAAGCAAACGATCGAAAAATACGAAAAGACCATATTCCAATTCCAAAGCGGCACACAAAACACATAGAATAGTAGGCTTTATCTAAGAAAAATTCGTAGAAAAACCAAAAAAGTCAATTAATATGGAATCGGTTTTTCGTTAGAAACTTACCTATTTTAATGAATTTGACCCTGCCACCAACTGACCGTATACAATTTTTATGAAAGATGCTAATTAGCTACGTTTCGTGTTCATTAAGTTTGCATTGATCACAATATTTCCATTTTCTCATTTTCTTTCAGTTTAAAAATAAAATCAAATCGACTCTTTTTTTTTGCTGTTCATTTCTACATATTTAATGATACTCTGTTCTTCTTTATTCGAACGCACTTATTTATTAAGAGAAAAAAGAATGTCTAATGGTTAAGCAAAAAAAAAAAATGTGTGTATGTATAAAAAAAATGGATAAAATTATTTCAAAAAATTAAAAATATATATTTATATATATATATACTATCTGTATACATGTTTAGAAAACGAAACAAGTTTATGTTGAATGCTAAATGCTTTACGTTTTCTTGATTGGAATTTAACGATGTTTCACTCTTTAATAAGTTCAATATTCACATATCAAAGACGGGATGGTAAACATATTAAAACACATGAATGTGTGGCAAACGGCTATGGCTTGATTATTCAAAATGCGCAATTTATTTAATGATTTGTTGCGCACAATCGTTGTCCATATTTATTTCTCTTGCCGGTACTAAATTTCTTGAACATTCATAGTTCTTTTTGCCGTTTTTTCCCTTTCGTTTTCACCAAATAATTATTATAATAATAATATTTGAAAAAAAAAAAAAAATCTTTTGCATTTCACATTTTATCTGTTCTTTTAATTTCTAAATGCTTATAATACGAATGATATATTTGTTATATGATGATTTTTGCTTTTTGTTTTCAATTTTTAAAATAGAAATCAAGCTACTGGGCCACTTTGGAGCATTAACATACCATACAAATTTACTAAATTCAAATCCAAATTTACACATATGGATGTTGTAGTCAAAATAATTTGTATCCTATGTTGAGTCTCTGAAGTGAGCATATACAATTATATATTATATATATACTCTAATTTGTTTTATTCAATTATATTATTTATTCATATAAATTGTGTTCCCATTAGAAATGTCAAATCCTTATTCTTGCCCATATCATCTTTAAAATAATTCATGCCATATCACTATTCAATTGTTCTTTTTTTCTCTGTCCCTCTCATTTCCTCTCTTAAAACGTTAAAATATTCAGATAATGAGTGACAATATTAATTCAAAAAGACAAGGGCGGCTAACGTTTAAATAATTCAATTTATCTACAGTATAGTCGTGCATGTGCGCACGCACCTACTTTTCTTTCTTCCTTTCAATTTTTTTTTTTGGTAAAATTTGACATACGTTTTAACATTTTTTCAGTGAAACTAAAAATAAAAACGAATTTTAAATTTTGCACAAAACAATAACTAAAATTTTGGGCTTTTTGTTCAATAAGAATTTGATTGGGGTAGAAAAAAAAAAAACAAAAAACTGTAACTCAACAAATATAGAGAATATTTTGATTTTCATTTGTTATCATCATCGCTTTAATTGTTCACATTTAAAATTGAGTTTCATTCTCTCTTGTATATTTTATTAGAATTTTATAAAGTTTATGCATTTATGTGTGCTTGGATTTTTCAAAGGTAGTCGGTGTGTTACAATTGTTTTCATTTATAGATATGATTTTACATGTATTCCATTTTTAAACAATTTAAAAAAATACTCTGAATATTTTTCAATATTTTTTTCTTAATTTTTTTTTTTTGTTGTGAAACAGGAATTCCTGATTAATATATTAAGATGATTTTAATTTCAAAACTTTTAATCTCTTGTGCAATATACTGTATACTACTCTAAAACACATTTAATAATTTTTGTCATAAGTGATTTGTTCTTTTTTTTTGTTAAATAGATCTTCATATTGTTACTAATTTTTTACGTTTATAATTTGTTTTTAATTTTAATTTGCTTCACTTCAAAGGTCACCTTTCGTTTTAGTTATGCTTTTTCTTTACTTTTCATCTAACGTTTAATAAATTTATTGAATTGGAAAGTGTTTAAAGTCTAAAAAATACGCAACCTATTATGTGTATATATATATATTTGTAATAAATGGTCCATTTTGGGGAGGGGGTGGATAAATGTCGAACGAGATATTATAATCGAGACACAGTAAATTCATTTCGTCACATTATTACAATTCACATGCGTGTACAATTTGTTTGTTGAATAAAAGAAATTATTTATGATGATGAAATAGTAGTTTTGCTCTGGCATAATGCTGCATAATTTATGCGTGTCTTTGTCTAATGTACGGCATCAATATCCCTTTGAGCACGTGATATTTTCAATTTGTCCTTTGGCGTCTGATTTTCACCCGATTCCAGTGCAAACATTTTCATTTTCTCTTTAAACGACAACTTTTCTGGAACACCATCGCCAGTTTTTTGCTTCTCTTGTTGTTGTTGCTTCTCTTGCAATCGACGCGTCAATGGATCTCTGCCAAAATAAATGAAAATATATTGAATTCGATTAAAATGCCATTTTTGAGGGAGAGCGAGAAATAGAAAATTATAATAAATGCAAATAAAACAATGTTTTATTCAATTTTCAATTGCATACCTGTATACTTCTTGTGCGCCAATTACACCTGGTGTCTGTTGTACAACTGCATTCCATGATTCACCTTCGGGTGTGGTTGGTGTCTGAAGCATTGCTGATGTTTCTTGAATAAATCGCTGCAAATGAGAAAAAGATACCGATTAAAACTAATTTAAAGACGAAAATAATAGTTTTGATTGAAATAAATTTAAAAAAAAAAAAATACATACATTTGGATCTTCTCGTACAATGCTCAATTCAGCTAGATCACCACTCGATTGTCCCATGATCAAATTGTTTTCATCGTCATGGAATGAGACGCGTTTATTGTCCCGTGCTGCTGCTGCCATCATCGAGGCAAGCGATGCGTTTGAAACGTTGGTTGGCATCGGTGACGTCAAATTATTACTACTTAATACACTATGATTTGCATTCGTATTACTGTTGCTGATGTTGTTATTTACGTTCGAAATGCTAGTATTGCCATTATTCGTGCTATTGTTGTTGCTATCGTTATTATTGTTCAAACTATCGTTGCTCACATTCATGCTATTGTTATTTGTTTTTGTAATGGTTTTTTTATTCGATATCATAAATTGTCCAAAAGCTGCTGACGATGATGATGGCGACGATGACAATTGATCATTGCTTAATGTGGTGGTTAGTGTTGACGTGGTCGTTTTTTTAACACTTTGATTGGTTAGCGTTGTTGTGGTGAGGTTATTGTTTCGCAAATTTTGTTGTTTTTGTGACATCACAACATATGATGAATTTCGTTCGGGCGGCGGCGGTGGATTATGTATGCTATTATTCAGCGAATCGATGTTCATTTCGCTTATTTCTTTGATTTGGTAGCTGGATGTTGAGGTGGTTGATTCATTAAAGCTCATACTGTTTAAATCGCGTACCACACTTGACATGGACGCATCGGCATTATTTTGACGATCATCGGCAAATGTTGTGGACTTTGCCTGTTTTGATGGCGATGATGGATTGCTGTTGCTTGTTCGTTCGATACGGGCATTATTATGCTTTAAAATGCTCTTTGGTTGTTGAACTTGTGTGCTGCCTGATAGATGCTGTTGGTGAAGTTGTTGTTGTTGTTGTTGTTGTTGTTGTTGTTGATGATGATGTTGTTGTTGTTGCTGCTGCTGATGCTGCTGTTGCTGTTGCAGTAAACCATCATTCAGACCTTGCATACTATCATTATTGGCATTCGAACCGGCATACGCAACATTTTGTGGAACAACATTGGTCTTAACATCCACCTGTTTCATATTCATCACCGGCGTTGATAATTGATTCGAATTTGGTGCAAGTCGAATTACTTCTTGCATATTCTCTTTGCCATAATTTGTATCGTTGTCTTCTTCTAAATCGCCTTGCTCTTGGGCTAGACGCTCAAAATCACGTTCAAGAATTATAGTTTTTAATTGTTCCTCCTGTTGTGGTGTGCGGTGTGGTAAATTTGATAGCTCGATGATGTGATGTTCACGCCATTGTCGAGCCTGTTCACGTCGCAATTCAATTTCTTTTTCACGCTCTTCTCTCTCCCATGGACTCATCGTTGTTGTTCCAATAAAACTTTTCGGTAATACTTGTGACGTTGGTGGATAATAGGCTGATTGATAACCTATACTTGGCGAACTGAACAATTTTTTTTAAATGATATTATTCATCAAAAATAAAGACAATATTTATATATTTTGGTGCAAAATTAATTACCTGGTGATTCTTGACTGATCGTTGGCATTTTTGAATAGAGGATGCGTTGCCGATGGTGGCAATGGAGGTGATAAATCATTAGTATGCTGTGGTTGTCGATTCATCTATATACAGATGGAAACAAAACGAATAAGAAAAAAAAATGTTCCACACCGAATTTGGTTTGAATTGTGTTGATTTTACCTGTGGTTTGGGTGCAGTTGGTGGAAGTTGTTTGGTCATGTAATTGATGCCAGATTGTGATGAATGTCCCTTGGTTAGTGTTGCATTTGCTCGGAAATTGTTCATCATGTCATTTGGATTTGATCCGGGCGACAATAGCATTGAACCGCTCGATAGATTCGGCATTGAATTCTGTGAATTATGAACATTTACATCCAATGCATACATTGGCACCATATCTTGTTGACGTTGTTGGCGTCTGCGCGCCAATTCGGCCATATCCAATGTTTGTGCATTCTCTTGGATTTTCGGCATATCTGCGTTGTAGCCGTTTGTAAATGTTGCGTTCATCATTTGATTTGGATTTTGTTGTTGTTGTTGTTGTTGTTGTTGTTGTTGCTGCTGCTGTTGTTGTTGTTGCATCGGCTGCATATAATAATTTGGATGAATCATATTGACATTTTGCATACTTTGACTGGCTGTCATATTCGATGAATAACCACTGGAATGTGCAATGTTCGGCATTGATGGTGCCATCATTGGATTCATTCGTAGACTTTGTTGATTTTGTGTGTCACGCATGAATGCATTCATCGGCCGATTGTTCATTGTATGTGATGATGATTGATTTGTGAGTAGATTATTTCCGCCGATATTATTGTTCGATGGTAGCACGTAATGACCGGACATCTGCGAAGGCAATGTATTATTACTTTTGTTATTTGTGTTGAAATAGGCTGAAGCTGGACGGCTTAAGAGTTGTTGATTAGATGGTATCGTTGTAGAATTTGTGGATGAAATTATTGTCGATTGAGAAGGGATTTGTGAGCTGTGAAGAGAAGAAAATGTCGATTTCTCTTGATTTATTGAATAAAAACCAAAAATTCGAAGAAAATTTAAGAAAATACATACCGATCTCCCAAATTCGGTTGACTTTGATTTTGCGCTCTGTAAACACTTAGATTTTGATAAAAGCTTTGATCTGTGCTTCCAGTTAAATTGTGTATACTCCTAGATTTATTGTTGACAATACCTAATTATGTATCGATGGATAAAGAAATATCATCATATTTCATGTAATTCGTATCGATTGATTGATTTCGATATGTTTTACTTACCGCTGTTGCCAACGTGATGCAAAGCTGGTACTGATTTACTGTTGGGTAATTGTTGTACATGCGCCATCATTGCTTTTGGATCTCGTTCTGACATTCGACGATTATCTATTTCAAAATATAAAATGTCCATGTTCGTTAAATGTTCAAGAGACTTAATGATTGTATTTTACTTCACTATCAAAATTTACTGAATAATTAACGGTATTGTTAACATGCAAGAAAAATTATCACTTATAAACTACAACAAAATATATACTACGCTATACAAAGAAAAATTGTCATGCAATTAAACACACAATAAAATACACGTATTTATTTCCTCTCCTGCATCAACCTGTTAGACTAACAGCGTTAGTAGAATTTGTCTTTACAAAGAAAAATGTTAAAAAATTAATATTCGTTTATTATTCACGTTGTTGAAAAATAAAAGAAAAAAAAAACGATACGAAAACTTAGTTTGTTACTGATAATGTTCTCGAAAAAACGGAAGCAAAATCGATTTCAATTATAAAAAATGAAAGTGATGGTGGTTGGTGGTGACAAAAAAAGAGAACAAAATGTTTTCATGCGACTCGAAACTGAAAATAAAATCGAATGAAATCGCGTGCGATTTTCGATTGTGTATGTAAAAGTAGCTATTGAAAATATGACATGATGCATAACTAAGCCACCGAATAAAAAAAAAACAAAGGGAGAAACAGACAGAAAAACTGTGACTTGACGTGTGCATGATAAATTGAATGAATTAGCTACTTTGTCATCTTGCTTCGTCTCCACCGTCTGAATCGTTGGACATTTTACATAAATGGCTTGATCCAGACGTCGCTGAGCCGCTGCTCTTCGAATTTTTGGCCAATTTATTAACTTTTTTGTTTTGTTTAATTTTTCGTAGCGTTAAAAATGTGGATCGATGACATGGACTGTTGTAAATACTTGCTTTTAATTTACTGTTAAACGTGGAATTGTCTTCCTTTGCTGTCGTCATTATATTGTTGTATTTCATGAGATTTGGGCAACTCTGTGCTGCATAATTGTCCGTTGTTTTAATGTTGGTCGTAATTTTTTGTTTGCGTACAATATACGATTCTGGAAATTTTTTTCGTTGATTCATGTTCGACGCCACACTGGTACAACGTTCAATATTTGGTTCGCTGGTTGATCGTTCCGATTCGGTTAGTTGAATTTTTGATGTATGCTCGTGTTCATCGAATTTTGCCGTTACCGTTAGATTGAGCACCGAACGTGTCATTGGATCGGTGATAACATTTGACTTTATTATATCATGATGATTATCATTACTTTGCACATCCGACGTTCCAAATTCACTCCAAATTTTCAATTGATCCAATACCTTTTGTCGTTCGGTTGTTGACATTTTACGATTATTATCTTTCGATAGGTTTGGCGATGATTTTGATCGACGATCACATGGCATTTTTAGTTGTTCAAAATAATTTCGAAGCGCTTTCACATTACCCGTACTGGGCAATTTCGTTCCGAACGTTTGTAATTTTTGACGGTCCAATGGAACATAAGCGAATTTCTCGGGACGCATTTGGATGGATTGTGGTGGAGGTGGTGGTGGTGATTGTGGTTTTTTTTCTTTTGGTGCATAATGCGGTTTCTGATGAGATTGTTTGAGTTCGGTTTCACCAACAAAACTTGAATCGTATTGTGTTGTCGACGAATTCGTTGAATTTGAATTCAATTCGGACAAATCTAATGTAAATGCTTTTGTATCGAACATTGTTATTGCTGAACTAATAGTCTTATTATTTGTTAATATTTGGCCGTTGTTCGATTCCTCATCATAAAAATAAGCGCTAAAATTATCATTATCTAAAGAAGGTATGTTCTTAAAGCTTTCAGTTCCATTATTAGGTTTAGTATTAGAATTAGAACGTTTATAGGTACAAAATTTAAAAATTGGTTCATTTTTTGTATGCATTAATCCTCTGCATGTTGTGTCATTAGCAGCATTTGATGCACAGTTTGAATTGGTCCCAGCATCGCTGTTGTCACATTTATTGAGCATGACATTGGTTATATGATCACAAGTGTTTGGTTTATTCATGGTTGTATTATAAATTGATTGCTTCTGTTGTTGTTGTTGCCGTTGCTTTTGCATTTCCAATTGTGTTAATGGCGGTAGTAATTTACTAATTTCCACATCGACATCATCCACCTCCAAATCGAAACTGACCGTTTTTCTATTTTTCATGTATGGGGGTAGAATTGGTGGTGGCTTAGGCATTTCAACTACTGAAGGTTCATTACAGGCTACACAATTGACTTCAGGTATAACATTTTCATCACATGACATTTTATGAGCGGAAATAAAGACATTTTCATCATCGATGAATGGAATTTCATCGCAACCGGCAAACGGTGCGACACTCTCTTCATTTAGGGGCTGATGAAAATCATTGAATTGTGATAGATTTGTTGAACTATTGTTGGACTTTACCTCCGCTTTGGTGTCATCATATTCTTCGATAAAAATCGACGGATTTAAATTCCAATTTGAATTGCTTTTATCGGATACATTTGGGCTGGAGGAGCGTGTACGTTGCATGGTTGGGCTACTTTTTCGCAAAAATTCATTCATTTGCAATAATTGAAAGGGTCGAAGTACATCATCTTGCAATGATGACGAACTACGTCGTCGGCTCATGAAATCACGACGAACATTGTCATAAATGTTTGAGCTGCTTTTTACAAATGGCCGATTATCACGGTATCTTGGATCGACTGGCACATGTTGATACTTCATGTTGAGAATATCTTCGTGCGAATAAGACGAATGACGGCGATAATTTAAATGCGGTGAACTGTGCAAAAATTCATTGGCATTGTATTGGCCAAAGTTCGGTAATGGTTGAAATGTTGGCACCGAATAAGCCTCTTGCTCAAAAAGATTGAGACTTTCATCTGAGTCGAAATCATAGAGTCTACTACTGTTTGTTGGTCTATACTCTTCTTCCGCTTTAAATGTGTGTGTATTCGCAATTTTAAAGCATAACGCATAGAAGCAGCATTAAGGAAAGGTAATTTATTTGTTAGTTATGATTTCAAGTTAGTATTTCGTACAGTGTTAGTTGAAATAAAAATTTTCTTGTGTATATTCTACGAATTAGTTTAAATATTTTTAGCGTTTTAGCAACAATTTAAGCTCAAACTTTGATAATTTTCATTTTTTTTAGTTTCAAACTAGTCGATTGGAGTTAGTTAAGTTAAATTCAATCTCAAAGTTACACACGCGGCACACAATAAAAAAAAACGATTCGATTCAACAAAAATATTTTAATCAGATGCTTACCTCTTTGTATGATTGGACTGGGCTGTTGCAGAAGCATAGCTAAACCATGATAGATGGCTCCTTGTTTGGCCACTTCGAGAATAACAACAGGTCCGGTGCGTACAAGATAATCGGCTGCACGCTCTTGTGTTATTCCAATTAAACTTTGGCCATCAACCTTTAAAAGTTGATCGCCTGCTTGTAGACGACCATCGGCATCAGCTGCGCCGCCAGGAACTACTGATTTAATATAAATTCCCAAGCGTTCCTATTAAAAAAATGACATTTCAATTTTAATAAAATCAATCCATTTCACAATTCACCGTCATTGCGGTGAAAACCATTTTAATGACATACTTGACCGGCTCCTTTTGCCGCTACAATTGATAATCCCATTCCATTCGCATTTTTGTGTAATTTTATCACTTGCACTTCAGGTTGCGGTAGTTTTGTTGACATTACACTAGATGATCTCGTTTGCTACAGTTAAATAAGATTCATTTCAATCAATTTGAATTATATTCGATGTGCGATTAAATGTTGATGCTTACATTATACTGATGCATGTAAACGGTCCAAAGGCCAATGCTTGTAGGTTGAAAAGAGAGTCGACACATGCCTGCTCCTTGTAATGGTGCCAAGAAATCAACTAAGCCAGCTGGGATGCCACGCACCACATCTGAACTGAATCCATCGTCCGGAATCAAAAGTGCCAACGGCAATTCAAGTGATTCTTCAAGACACACCTATATTTTAAAAAGAACAAAAAAAGATATATTCAATGGCACTCGCTGGTAATATTCATTTAGAGTAACACAATGAAAAAAAGAATCATTTTCCATTCGTACCTCTCTGTCGTCGCCCCGGGTGAGTTCGTCAGCAACGGACTCGGCCATTCTAATAGCTGTATCGATTAAATTTCTCGGTATTTTTTCTTGTGATAGCAGTGCAGCCATTTGCAATGAATTCAAACGGAAACAAGAACATGCCAATTTTTGGACATCTTCCTCGCTAGTTTTGGCCGCCTTTTTTGCAGAGAGAGAAAATCCAATTATTATTTTCATTAAACCTAATATACTTGTGTAGTTGAACAAGTGACGTTTATGGATAAAAATATACCTGTAAGAAATCGGCACATTGATTAATTTTGGCTAAATGGCACTCAGCAGCTAGTTCTAATCCTTGTTTATGGGCCCATGATTCAAGTATATCAAGACGTTCTCTAATAACCTTTCCCCATGATTCAATGCACATGTGCGGGTTTGTCACGACCTTTTTTTTTCGAAAAAGATTTTTTATTTGTTTTCAATTGACTTTGTCCATTTTATTTGTTAAGTATTCAAAAATTCGAATGATTTAGCTTACCGTATTGAAACAAATTGCATTGATATAATGGAATAGCTGCGAGAAAAGTTGAATAGTTAAAGCGGCATTAACACGGCTGCGTCTCAACAATGCCATTGCCGAACTTAAAACGGTCAACACAAGCCCGGCGGCTGATTCATGATCGATATTTTCCGATAGAAATTGATTCAATGTTTGTGACAATTCAAGACGAAAGCAATTCACCAAATGATTGAAAGCAATTTGAACGCTTTCAGTTAAAACTTCTTGTGCTTGTACACTGAATGCGGATATGTGTCGATCGGATTTTAGAAAGTGATAGAATTCCGAACTGTTAGCCATCCAAAATGATAAAACACGTGGATCTTGATTGCGTTCTTGTACCACACCCAAAATTAAATTGGCCACATGATGTAAAAACACGGTCAATTTATGTGCTCGTTCCGTTGGCTGCAAATCTGGTCGATAATGCGTTGAAGCGCGATATCTAATCAAAAGCAAGAAATAAACACATTAAAAAAAATAATAATAAACAAAACTAGACATATGATTTGTGTTTCGATTTATTTACCTTGCGCATAAATAGAGCGTATACACTGGTGCCAATTTAAAATTTGGAATATTCACATCCAAATCGACTATACATTGATGTAAAAATGATTCTTGGTGTGTCTCAGGAAATTCGAGTACAGCCGGTAAAATGGGCTCTTGACCAGCGCCACTCATATCCAAATTGGTCGCTTGTTTTTTCGATCTGTGAATATAAAACAAAGACATATTGCCATTTACACACCAAAACTACGTTCGATCTCATCGCTTTCGAATCGTATACTAAACAAATTTATTATCGTTTATATAGTTTTAACTTGTATTATCATTGTTGGCAATTTTATACTGTTTCTTTTTTTTGGCCCGACATATCTAACGTTGTCTACCTCTTAATTATGCATTTTATTCACAATGTACTTACATATCGTTTAGCTATAGTTTTTAAGGCGCACAACTCATTAATATTGTAATTGCTGAATGTAGACATACACATATTTGAAGATATGAACATTTTAAAGACAAAAGTAAACATGTGCCAGTGCAATATGCTGCATTGAAACGTTTCATAATACATTCTTGTAATTTGAAGCTAATTTGGCATTTATTTGACAGCAAATGGCGTCTCATAACACCACAAAATAGGAAAAACAAGACGAAAAAACACGACAAAACGACGTAAAATGCAACGATAACATTCACATTGAAATTTGCATTCTGATGCACACGGTTCGATTAAGTGCAAGAATAAGAATGTCATAAAACAATAAAAACAACAAAAAAACAACGGAATAAAGCGAACGAAAAAATTTAAAATATATATAAAAGCCAAACAAAATTCGAAATGATAATACAATGTGGAAAAATTATTCTTTAAAAAAACAACAACAAAAAATGCAACAAAAATAACAAACAAAGATTAAGAGCTTGTGTGCGTTTATAAATACCTCAAATCTGGATTCGATCCGTTCGATTTAACGCTAGACAATGATTTCGTTTCGGTTTCCGATTTATTATCGGATGGATCATAATCATTCATTGATGGTGGCGATAATTGTTGTGATTGTTCCTTTCCCAGTTCTTGTGATTTTTGTAAATCATCGGTGGCCATTGCTGCTAGCGCTCTTGCCGTTGAAGCCGATTTATTTGGATCTTCGCCGGATTCTATTTAATTGATCGTGTGAGTGTATGTATGTGTATGTGAGTGTATGATACAATGGTCGATTCAAATGTATAACTAATCAAGAAGTTTTAATTCGACTTCATTTACGGACATCATTTACTTTGATTTTGTCATTTTCGCGATGCATCGTAATGTCGATAATCATACAATCGAACTGGATAGATATCTCACAAAATGGTAGCTATTTTGTGAACTTTATTTTTGTGGCAACAGAAATTTGTTGATCCAACGTGAAATTCCAAATTTGAACATCCAAAATGGAAGTCCACACTTAGAGTTTCTCGTTGCCACAGAATCAAAGTTCACAAAATAGCTACTATTTTGTGAAATATCCATCTATCCTATTCTTTTATGAGATGCAAAAACGTTTCAAAACCAGCTGAGCCATTTTCTATGCTTTTAATTGTTTGCTTAAATGACCATTCTGAATGGTTGATGTTTTGTGGCAGCAATTGCAAAGCATACAAAACGTCATCTTGTTTTGATTTGGTTTGGGGTAGGGATTCTATAATTATTTTGAATCGATCATTGACAGGGTCAATCTTGTCGCATTGCGAATGCGATGCAGTTAATTTAAAATAAAACGGGTATGGGCGGCATATGATTTGTGTTTGTGTATGGATGTATGAGTTTTGTGTTTCGTTACCTTTTCCAATAGTCGATGTGGGTTCATCGTCGTGCCACGATGGGGATGTTGGTGAGCGACTTTTTGTTTGATGTAAATTTATTTGATTAGTGAACATGGCAATGGCATTATAGAGCAACCCAGTATGGATGATATTTTTACATTGCGTGGTGTATCGTGGTGGTCGATTGCGAGCATTTGAGTTGTTACAATTTGTGTATTATAAGGTTTTTTTTGTATGTCGTCGATTTTGATTAAAAAAAACGTTTACACACAAAAATAACATTGAACATTACAAGCGTGAAATAACATGAAAATAAAAGAATAAACAAAACGATGAAACATAAAAACAAACCGAAAATAAAAAAAACACATTACGATGATGAACAAATAATAAAAATGAATTGCAAACGCGTAAGAGTCATAACACGAATATGGTTTTTTTTTATCGAGGATTAAATGGGTGGTTCACAATTGCAGACTACTATAGACGCACATATGTGCACTTTTTTTTCCTTCTTCTATCGCCCATTCTATAAAATTTAAACATGCTAACTGTTAATTCTATTCGCTATATTTATAGCTCTACTTCATATCAATGCATATACATATGTATCTTTGCTCATTGTCCTATGGACGACAATGAACATTACTTTATTTATCAATGATACGTTTATTGTACATGCACGATGTGTGACCTTAAACATTTGTTGGCTATATAGACGTAAAGAAAACAGACATCCATTAAAAAACCATGTCGTTGTGTGAACACATTGTCATTTCGTTGGACAAATGTTATTCGATCGAGTTTGATATATTTTATCTATTTGCAGGGTTTTTCATCTATTCTTATCATGTGCTCTAGGTGTTTTGTTTCCTTTTTTTCATCTATGGCCTACAAAATTTATTACATTCCGATTTCATTTCCTTCGAGAAATCGAAAAATAAAATAAATAAAGGATAACGTATAACTGTAAATGTGAAAATAGTAACTGCCTAAGGATAATTGGAATGAATCCATTGGTCGAAACTAGTAAACACAAATACAGTACAAAGAATTTTTCTGTTTCAATTTAGTTCAGTCAACAACAAAACACCAACCAAAATAAATGAAATTGGCATTAAATATTCCGACTATTTGAAACATCAAATTCTTCGTATTGGCTTACAAACATAAAAATGTCCAAATTGCCTTGAATGTTACTTAAGTTTAAAAGAAAACCCTGATTTTCTTATTATGTTGCCGACTGCACATAAATCCGATTAAAAATCTCTAATTCTCTGCACAAATATATTGACTTGGATTAAGGTGTAAGCTATTTGGAACAGTCATAGAAAGAAACCTATACCTGTTCACTTTTTCCCAGCACATTTTGTTCAATGTGAGGAAATTTTCTCTTCTTTTCTCGACACAACGTGAATGTATGTAACATATATATTATTAACAATTAATTAATGGAAATATGCATACCTTTCGTATAAACATGCTGAATCCAATTGAGATTGTGATAGTACCAGATTATAACGTCCGTCCGACGGTGAATCAACAAATTTGTAGGAAGCCACCCGTCCAAACATTACCACCGATCCATTCTAAATAATAACGAAGGAAATATAATTAAATAGACATTTTTATTTCTCATTTCATTCTGCAAAAAAAAAACTTTTTAAAAAACCCGCATAACGAAGTGAATCCACTTAAAATACAAAAAAGTGAGTATAACGAAAGGGCAATGCCATATTACATTGTTCAAGTGTTCGTGTAACGAGTGGGATGTGATTGAGGGTAGAAAATTCGGACAGTATGAAAAATGAATGCAAACTTAAATGGGCACGTCTCGAATACCATTGAAAAGTCATTAATTTTGCAAAAGTGATATAATCGAGACAGTGGGCTGTGGTACACATAATGCCACGCCACATTTCGTTCGTTCATTAAAATATTTCCACTGGCAAATACAACTAGATATTTTCCAATTAAAAATGTTGAAATTATACGAGCATCAAATTTTTGTATGGTTGAGAATTCAATTGCACGAAACAGAAATCGTTTAATTGCTTGATTTATCAAGTTGACTTCTCTATTGTAAATCGTTTATTGAGTGATTTAAATGAAAATGTTTTTAAGTGATTTTAAGAATAAAAAGTGTTTTCTTGTCTGCAACTTGCTTCCTATCCATGTGACAGATGGATAATCAAATGATTGGAACATTGGTTGTACAATGCTAATGTATTGGTCTACTTTTATTTGATTGCAATTTAAAAGTGCATTTGAAAGTCGAACAATTGCATGAATTAATGTTTGTTGACATCTTGCGTCCGAACACAGAGCTTGTAAGCATATAACATAGAAATTAATATTCGTTTAAATGCGCCTCCTAAACTATGGAGAGTACCAATGATGTGCGAGTCAAATTAACATGATTTGTATCAGAGACTTTGGCCTTGATGAGTCAAAGCGGAACATTTTGGAAATGATTTTTTTATTCAATTCGGGTGGAAATCTTTAAGTATAAAATTAAAAGATTAGGAAATTGTGTTTAGCACCAAATAAATGTGCCAACCATCCGATAAATCTATTTAAACGGTTTACTTGTGTGTATGTCTTAGGCTTTCTTGACATGCGATTGACTCTTTTCATTCAAACGGAATTCAAACGGAAACGGAAAATTATGATAAAAACCACAACATCGAATTGACTGGTTCAAAGTGCGACGATAGAAAATTTTACTGAACCGTATTTATCTGAGTATTTTATAGTTGTACTTGAATGATTCAACATGTTATTGGCGTACTTTCCGGTCGGATATACTCGGTGACATGAACAACGACAATGAAAACTTTTAATGGTCAATTTAGTTGGATGTCGAATGTTTGATGAATCGTTTTCCATTAGTTTTGGAAAGTGGGTGGAATTTCATTCACGCAAAAGAATCAAAATTCCAAATTGATAAAGTCAAACAGTCGGAAAAACCAAAAACATACATAAGCCATTCTCCTTGTTTGGATTTCCTTTCAATTTTCTGCAAAAACGTAATGAAAACAGATAGAGTGGTAATATTCACACGAACGTCAACCAAAACGCGTCGATCAAATGTAGTGTGAAAATATATGTGATGCCTTTCGAATGCAGAATCAAATCAATGCTTATTATTTCGTCTATCATAAATGGACTCCTCTTTCGATACATATTTCACAAATAAATACGTATGGAAGCATACAATTCACTGGCGTTGTTCATTATTATAATAGGCCAAAAGAAAGGTGCGTTATATGAAATATTTGAATGCTAACAAAATGTCAAGCCGCACAATCATCAATCATCGTGCTGAACCTGGGTGGGGAACACATAGTGATGATTGTTCGGAAAATTGTACAAAAATAATTGATGATACAAAATTTGTTTGGGCCATACAAATTCTCACTCGGACTTTTTTCATTTTCAATTTTAACAAGGGCGTTCAATTAAAAGAATCCTCAAAAATGTGGGTCAATAATAAATGATGATTGTCGGAATTGCGTTTTTCAATGGTTTTGAGATGGCCGTACCGAAGAAGGATGAAAAAGAATGAGCATCGTTTATATTAGCAAAAATGGTAAATGTCAGCTTCAATCAGAATCAGGAGTAATGTAATTCAGGAAAACGACGACGGCCATGAAAATAGATTGATTGACGTGACTGCAGCAAATTCCTCGAATTATACGATGCGTGATATATGTCAGATGAGTTTCACTTGAGGAAGATATTTCACAGACACATGCATTACTATATGTAGTTAGCTATAGCTGTAGTGCGCCTTAAAAGTGCGTTCACATATCAACAAAAATTGTTGGTTGCTTTCGTTTGCATTTTCTTTCAAGGGAAAAAAATAAGATGGTGCGTCATTCAATGTAATCCAGTAGGAATGCCACTTGAAAAGTAGAAAAAGTGATGCAAATGAAGAAACACGATAATCTGAAGTTTGCATTCCGTTTTTTTTTATCGAAAAAAGACTAACGGCCTTTGTTTTATTGTTTGAACGCACGTATCGTTGAATTCATAAATACACCGAAAAAAAATACCAATTTGTTTTTTTCTTCATTTTTTGTTTCTTTATTCGTATAAAGTTGTTGATTGAATTTGTTGTAAAGCTTGATGAATTTTTAAAAATGTCAAGGTCCATACAACTTGTTATTTCCAATGTTAAAGACACCACCATCATGAACAATGGATAAAAAGTGTGTCTTGTTGGCAAGGGGTCGATGAAGTTTGTAAGCATTTCGAAGATTTGAAAAAAAGATTATCGAACGTCACTTTTGAGTCGAAATACCAACAACAAAGTAAACAAATAGATTATAAGAAAGAAAACGAACTAAACAACACAAAAGAATCAGTACATACGCCTACATTATTTGGTGACGTCAATAGATTCTCACTTTACAAACGAGAAAAACAACAATAGCCGTAACGATATCAAAAAGGATTCTTCTCGTCTACATATATACGGCACATAGTTTCTTATTTGAATTTATCCCGACAAACGTATATAAGAAAAAAAAACTAACACTTTGGTATGAAGTTGATTTGAATAATTGAATACCGACTGACATTCATTATTTTTCAATTTGACAAATTATACCTTCTAAGCGAATGGTAAAAATCTCATCTATTTCAAATTTACGACCCATACAAATCGAATCATCGTTTTTATTTTTCAATAAAAAAACAAAACCAAGCATCTTTATTAGCAAAATGACAGAAGGAACACAGAAAAAAAGAGAAAGAAAAAAACTTACGTGTAAGATTGTTGGTTGCTGAATGTGATGGCCGTTGACAAATGTGAGCGCATCAGCATGAAGTGGTGTTACCGTGCAAACCCCTTCCAACAACGATATCAAACAATGTCTCGGTTGAATCGATGGACCGAATAATTGCAGCTGATTTGTATTTGCTGAGCCAACCTGTTCAACGAATGATAATTAGTTTTGTGTCATTTTTGTTGTTGTTGTCCTTTTCAATTTATCCGCCAATTAGAATCGTAAGGGCGTCGCAAGTGTTTAATATTGATTTTTGTTAGGTAACTTACTTCAATCGGTTCGGTGGTGAGTTTAACGTGTCGTCCACCTTCGCCGCTATGTGTGATTTCCACTAGAACGGGACCTTCCCTATCGTTTGCCACACTGTTGCCACCATTCGATACGCCAAGCGGTTTTTTCTTTCGTCGTCGTGGTTGCGAATCAGCTGGTCGACGTCGCACATGAAACATGATGGACCCTGATTATTGACAATAAAAAACGAACACGAACATTTTTATTAACAAATACATTTTTAATCGCATTTATATTAAATTTTAAATTGATTTGATAATGAAATGTTTACTTTCAAACAAAAATGGAAAATCATATCGAAATATGAATGCAAGTACAATATATAATATTATATTTATATTATCACGATAATAAGCGTGACATTTCGGGACGAATATTCACAATCATGCATGACTACAATTGGCTGTAGTTTAAGTGAATAATTTATTTTGAAATGGACAAATGTAATGTAACAGACGGATTATTGGTATCGACAAACATTTCGGCCCTAACTCGGCTTTAGATAAACAACACACTAAGTAACGTGAGAAGTATTTCCGATGACACACTGTCGACATTGTCGAAATGGTACTCTCAAATAGACGAAGAGAGAGAGAGTGAAAAAACACTTTATTTTCAATCGATACAGTTTCATCGTCATTCATTTACAAAATTGAATTTCAACCAGGCGAAATTTATACGGGAATTATCGTTTACTCTCTGTTTTCAATTTAATTAAATTTCCACAACGTTATGTATTCGAAATTCAACCGATTGAAATTCAGTTATTTTAATAATGTAGGTTTATTATACCTTCCACAAGCCAACCACCGTTTAACAATCGAGATTTTCTCGAATGATAACTCACACTCACTCACACACATAAGCACAACGGATTTCAAAATCATTTGAATGCACGGCAAAAATTACAGTTTGGTTGCTGCTATTTCTGCTGCTGATTTTAGATGCAAATTTTATAAATTGTTTTCGAACAAACACGCATTTGCGAACATTTTGCTGGATTGTATATATTTTTTACTACCTTTTTTGAGGCAATATCATGTCATGGTTCATGTAAATGAATGAAAAATTACATCAGAGAATTAATTTTGTATGCAGCCAAAATTTACGGCACCCATTTTTCATGTGAATAAAAAAGGAAACCAATCGTAGGCATGACGTTCACTTACACACGCATGCACACCACACAAAAACCGAATTGTCAATGTAATGAACGTCTAAAAGTGTTCGAATTAATTATCAATAAAGATGGAAATGACAATATCAAGCCGAAAATTGAACGATATGAAACTAGAAACATATACACCGATAAACTCGAACGATATTATTTAATCGTTTAGCATAAATTCATTGCGGGTCTTTTCTTATGACATTGATTCGGACTGTAAACACATATTTATAATCCATAGAATGTTTATTATTTATATTCCTGTCTTATCTTATATTTGTTGGAGAAAAGACAGCACATCTAACAAATGATAAATTGGAATCGAAAACGATTGCAAAAGGAGGATTCTTTCATTCGATTTGAATTCTGTATGAAAAAATACACACTTGATGGTACACAATGAAATTACCATCACCTTTGTTCGCGCTCAATACGACACTGCTACAGTTCGTTGCTTGTCAAACATGGATCCTTTGAAATTGTGTACACTCTCTTCATTTTTCTTCTTTTTCATTTTCATTGGAATACTTCACATTTATGGCAAAATATGTAATTTGATGAATGATGATTAATAAAAATGTTGTTATTGTGTGTGCATGAGAGTGTGATTGGTATGAGTTTAGGTTGAAAAAAAGCAAGCAATAAATTCACTATCATTCCGTTTCGATGGATTCGTTGCGTGGTGGTTTTGGTTTTGACTTTGTTTCGCTTTTGTTATAGTCTTGTTACTGTGTTGTACACATATACCTACTTCTCCATCGATATTTATCAGTTTTCTATAAACAAGGTCTTACACATTATTGCTGCCTTTTATATGTATATATATGAATATGGAACAACGACAACCACAATAAAAATAGAAATAAAATGAAATGGAACACTGTTTGAAAATGATGAGTATTTTTGAGAAACTGTTATTACTGTCGGCATTGGTTTTCTATATGTTTTTCTAGTTCAAATTTCGCCTGCTGTTTTGTGTATTGAATCGAGCTTAATGCGATTATGATGAAAATTGAGCTTTGGTAAACGACATAATGCCGAAACCATCACCATCCGTTACCATCCATCGAATTAAATAAAATCGACGCAAATTAACTGAATAGCCCGGAATGCAAACGGCACACAAACTTTGTGTGACATTTATTTTGACACAGTTTATTAAATAAATTCTAACGGAATTGATTGTAAATGAAGTTCGAGATTTCGATCAAACTCGAAAATCGAATCACACACACACACACACACAGGATTTATATCATACACCAACGATAATATAATAATAACTCAATCGCCTATTTGTACATTAAATGCCAAACGAAAATATCTAAATAAATTACACTTTTTCTATTCATTCATATGTTTATCGTTATAAATGTGGTGGCATACTATTTGTGTATCGTACAAAAATTTCATATTTTGGCTCCATTCTTTGCGAATTGTCGCTGCGAAAAAGCAGCAACTAATATATATATATCACATCATTATTTGGGGTAAAAGGTATATTAAGCTATTATACATGACTGCAGAATGAAACAAAAGAAATTCACGAAAAATAGAATGGTATAAAACACCCAATAAAAACAACAAGTCAAAACACAATAAAATACGAGATACACATACAGAAAGTGAGGGAGAGAGAGATAGAGAAAGAGAGGGAAAGACAGAACAAAGTTGGAAAAAATTGGCTAGAATTAAATTACTTACGACGAATGCCCCAGTCCATCATGGTTACGAATTTTCTATTTGACGGTTTTCATTCACAAAACAATGGCAAAAGCACGGCAAAATTCACCGTGTGTAGATATATGAATATTTGTTTCAAATGTGCGCCACACAACGCAATAAGTTATGGGAATCAAATAACAACTGAACACCACACACAATGTATCAGCAACAAAAGCAGCAGAAACAAATTAAAGAAAAAAAGCACGATAAATTTACTCGGCAAAAACACACTGCTTGCACTTAAAACACATGCACACAGACAAGTCAGCTGGGATTAGTTGAGAGCAACTATGCAAGCTCTAATTGGTGGAGGTTCATCGCGCGCGCCTTTATCATTTAACTGACTACACGCTACACTTTTTTTTTATTTCTTTCTTTATTTCTATCGCTCTCCCTCTTTATGCAATATATTTCGAGTTGCAATCAAATTAAGCTGATTGTATTGTTGTTATTTTATTTCTTGATATTTGAAGAACGTTCATTCTAGCGCCCATTTTTATTAACATGAGCAATGAAATTGAGAGAGAGAGACATCTTAGTGAAATGCCAATCGATAAAAAGAAAAGCTTTCGGATTCCTTAGACTCTGTAATACATCTTAAAAGTTCACACACATAATTTTATTCGCTCTCTGTTCCGTTGTTTCGAATACTCGATTCACTTGGTGACTGCTGCTATTGTTTCGTTTCTGACACATAAAGCAACCATCAGCACAGTTTCATTTCTCAAATACACATACAACGAAAGACCCACACACTCCTTTCGATGTTGAGCCTTGCTTGACGTTTGTTTCTTTTATCACTGATACTATTTCCGTTTCGTGTTTTTATCTTGATTTTATTCCCTTCGTTCGAACGGAATTTAAAATTGTTAATCAATTAAAGAGCGCAACGAAGACTATACCGAAATATGCACGCGCTTATTTGTAACTGATTTGAAGACGTTGAGGTTTGGTCAGTACAAGGTAGCAATGAAACTGTATCCAAAAATGCAACGAACACACATACATACGCCAGAGCTATTGTGTAAACAAAACAAACTCATTAAATTGGTAACTGTTTTCACATGAACAGTGTCGCTCCATCAAAATCAATTTGCAATACGTAGATTCCAACAAAGAATATTAAAAGTAAACATCGCCCAGCAAAAATTACAATTCGTGTGTTGATGATATTATATAGTCGAGTATGTGATGTGGCTTTCGGCTGGAGCAACAATATCTAACATAGTTTCAAAATTTCTATCTTTAACTATCAACTGAACTCAGACGACGACGACGACAAAGTAAAATAAAAGACACACACACACTGTTCAGCTTTCATACACATTCGGTACAATGTCGTCCTTGTATCTGCATGTGATGTAGTCGAAATCCGAGCGAGAACTTATCTTTTCACATTCTAATGTAATTTTGGAGCCGAGAACAAAACAAAAGAAAAAACTAAAACTAAAAGTGAAATGGGAAACTGAATGAAATGACGATAAGCGAACCAAGAGTGTCGGTTCAGCATGAAGATTCACTCATACTGAAACATATTTGTATATATTCGTCAGAGTGTGTGCTATTGAATTGGTATTCCATTCTCTCTCTCTCTCTCTCTCTCTCTCTCTCTCTCTCTCTCAGTCATTGTCTGCATGTATGGGCACACAGACGTATATCGACAGTGGCACAACGTGGAAATGGATAAAACGGAATTTGATTCGTGTGTATCCGTGCTATCGTGTTAGTATTTGTACTACAAATGAAATGATTCGATTGCCAACAATAAATAACCCCCAAAATGTTTTGTGCAATATATACCACATGCAGACATACACCGATAGTGATTCGTATTCTCCGCTTTTTTTCCTTCTTCTTCCGTATTGAATATGGTATTTACGTACACATACTTGCACATCATCACATCAGATATGTTTGTTGTTCGCATAGACAAAGGAATTTAATCAGCCACAACAAGCACTCTCGATACACGCGACCAACTTGAATCTTATCAGAATGAATACCTTCTACTATCAAACATGCTATTCAATTCTCAACAACAATGCAATTCCTCCAAGAGATGGCACCATTGAGTCCAAAATATCAATGCCATAGGAAAAAAACGGTCGTTGTCTGTGACAGAAAGGTCTCTCTATCTCTTTCTCACTGCCACATACATAATGTGCAGTGGATGTATTTTGGTACAGACACGGTATCTGTACCGTTCGATTAGAATGATTACAATACACGTCTGCCGATGTATAAGTGCGAATATGCGCATAGGAAATTTTCATGTTTCTCCTCCTTAGTATATATATAAATATATATATATATACTGGTTGCTCTCTTGGCAATGTATACTGTCATTTTAATAAATGATTAAAGCAGCATGTAAATGCAATCTCCGTTTAATCAAGCATCCCAAAAGCTCAAACTTAAAGACAAGCTGAGACACATTTGATAATGCTAGCTGGCAGATATGCTACATACTATTTTGATTAAAAACAAAATTGATTGTGAATGGAATAATATGCACATACCTCTGGATGTCGGATGATTCATAAGTATGGATAGTGGACATTCATCATCGTCTAAAATATATTCGGTTCCGTCGCTGTTGACTTGTACGAGACAATAGTGCAATGGATCGGCTTTATCCAAACCGTATTTTGATAGCATTTCTCTGACAACAGCTTGTGCACAATCTCGTATCGATAGCAATAATGTTTTGTAAGGCACATCACGGCACAAGCTCTCTCCATAAATTTTCAATGTTCCGCCTGTGCATAGCAAACGAATGAAAAAAAAATTAATAAATCATTTTAAAGTGATTAAATTCTGATTTGCTGCATCATTTCGTTCAGTTTCAAGGTCATGACAAATCGATTTGAGCCAATGAAAAAAAAACAAGACGAATTTAATACCTGTATCGGGTCCACCGTCTTTCGATCGAAACTGTTGTAGTTTCTTTTCAAGTATTTGTTGTCGTCGTCGTCGCATCACCGCTTCTGGATTCGATATTGATCGTGTGAATGATGTTTCCGGCAATTCTGTATACAATTTTTCGGCCACATGATTATTTTCAATGTTGCCGCCTGGATTTGAATTCATTTTTGCTAGTTTTTCTTTTTTCTTTTGTTCCTTTTTCTCTCGTTTCGATAATTTTCGTTTGAAATTTAGATCGGCGCTTTCAACAATTGATGCACCCTTTTGATCGGTATTTCGCAACAAAAAACGACCTTCACGATCATCAATGTGCCAATTCAATTGTACCAGTAACGGTTTTTCATCCGCATTCAATTTTCGCTCTTCACCATTCGAATGAACCTCATACAGGGCATAGCTTGGCACCGACAACATTCGCATGTCCGGCCGAAATTTTTCAATCAGTGTTTCTATAAAATGAAATAAAATGAATTTGTAATTCAATTAACAAAACGCAAAACCAATAAAACATACCAATAACATCCGTTACAGTTGCATCGGATGCAACACGAATGCATTTTGTCGCCACTTTTTGACCACGGTCTTGGAAATAAAATCGCATCACACCATGAAACTGTAAATTCTGTAAAAACGAACCAAGACAACAAACAAAAAAACAACAACAAATAAACAATTCAATTAAATTGAGCCAAACGATGAGAATATTTGTACGAGAGAAAGAGAAATGACAAAAAAAAAATATCTTGCCTCATCTGGTTCTGATAATTCAAATAAGTCTAATCGATTTGCATTCCATTGTTGTATGACCGAGCGCAGAGCTTCACGCTCCGCCACTCGTTTTTCGGTCGATGTCATTGTGCGAAGTCGCCAATCTCTAGAGGAACAGAAAGAAAGAGTAGAAAATACATGAAAATTTAATCAGAATTAAACTGGAAATACGAAAAAAACGGTTCAAATTGAAAAAAAAAAATCCAATTGATTTTAAATGGAATGAATTTTTGGTGTGGTTGAAAAGCCAGGAAATGTTGAAAATTAAGTTTTTTATTTATTTTGATTGTTTGTTTATTTTTTACTGATATTTCATAACACAGAGACATATATTTTCTAAAAGAACACCGCATATTATGAAAACATATTTGACGAACCTTTTGAATTCCATCATCACCTGAATAATATTAATCTTATCAGAAAACTGCCTAACTCTTAACTTGGATCTAGATTTATGATATCTCTAATCTCTTTCTTATTTGAAAACACACAAAACGTTTATAGTTTTCGTTGCGGAATGCTAACAAATGCAATATATAACAAACATAATAAATGTTAATGATAACATAATGCACACACACACACACGATCAACATTTGATGTTGAATTAAACTTTAATTTGTCACACCGTTCAATTTCTCTGTCGCCCGATTCCCAAATAGTAATAGTTCATAAACAACCAAAGCGAAAACTAGCAACGAAATTAGGTTATTTCAATTTGAAGAATGCACATATTTTTTAATCATCGAAATGTGTCAACAAATTTAAAGTGAGTTCACTTTGAATACAGCTTTTAATGAAGCACTTTGACTATATGTTGATTATTTTATTTCACATTTTCACATTGTTTATCGACCCAAAAAGGAAAAAGAACAGAGAACGAGATATAAAGAAAGATAGAGAGCACAAAAAAAGCACAACAAATGACTACACATTTCGAGAAATGGCGTCGTTGACGTTCAAATGCACGTGTACATTTCAATTTTACAATTTTGTAGCAAGTTCCGTAGTTGGTTTGAATTTAAATGCTTTTTTCTTTGCTATTTTATTTTTGTGGTCATGTCTTCAGTGGCGTGCGAGACACTGTGTTCACGTTTTTGTTTATGAGAACATTGATAAAGCCATACAAAAGACATTTCATGCCTGTTGTCATACACAGAAAATGTTTTACACATTTCTCTATCTCTTTCTCTCTCTCTCTCTTTCGAACTGACCGTGTCATTGTCTCTGTCGCTGCTTTCATATATTAAGAAAGTCTAGTGAAAACAAACAGCATTTTGTAAAATCGAACGACAACAAAAGCAGAAAAAAACGGTGCTTACACATTTTCAATGTGTATAGATATATGTTTTGTTCGATTTCAAAACCAACTCGATGGTCTTAATTACATATTTTTACAGAAATAGTATTTTGTTGATGTGTAGTGCACATTTAAATTCAAAACTGCTCCGCATCGATCAAGAATGTGGAGACGATTCTTCTCCTCTCTCTCTCTCTCTCTCTATCTGAGCTCACTATCTGCATATTCAAAACACACACACGTTTCAAGAATCAAGAATGAATTTTGTTGGAATGGGTATTGTTGGCACTGCAAATGACCGGTAAACGTTCAAAAATTCCATAAATCCGCATTCTTTCCCTCACTCTCTATTTCTCTACCTCAAACCACATGATTTTGATTCAAAAAAATATAGATAATTATAATTCTAGATTGTTTATGCTAAAGAAGAAAGGTATCTCGGTATTATTTTGGTATTTTTTTTTGGCAGCGATGACTTTTAATTAATTCATCTGTATTTTAATTCAATGACGAATTGTTTACTATTCGGGGATTTTACTGTTCGGCAGGCACACATGAACGGAATGATAAATTATTGGAAAACGCCCCTCGGGCACACTTTTCATATACTGAAGTGATGCACCATGATAATAATAATCATGAAAAAAATGTAATAATTACTCGAAAACCCTTTGGATTTTGCAATCTCTTAAAAGCCATCAAAATTGATTGAAATTTCTCAACAAAACAAAAATGAATGTGAAACAATATTAATTCCGTCTTACAAATGGAGAGAGAATCAATTTAATTAACATAATATCATAACATAGGTTTGTTTTTATCGAAAACCCCTAACGCCAATTGAATTTCAAAAATGTATAGCCAACCGTATAATAAACGCACTCAACCATATCACACAGTAAACTGTTGTTTGTTTAAATGGAGTTTAACTAATCGTTTAAAGCATTTAACATTTTAAATGCCAACTTGGAACACATATTTTTATCGTTTAAAGGATTTGAGCCAATTCTATTCATACGCGAATGCAATTGTTTTGTACGATGAATTTTAAATTTCATTTTTTCATTGTTGTTTCTTCGATTTGATATTTTTATATTTTTGTGTGTGTATGTAGAAACAAAAACCACACCTTAAAAGATCACGGATTCTCATATTGGCAGATGATCTACTTGTTCGATGAATACCCGAACAAATTGAACACATTTTCGATTGGAAAATTATTCCGTTGCTTATAACTTATGTTCAGTTTATTTTTTTCGTTCACCAGTTTAACGTCGCAATCAAATCAAAGTTCTATCCATTTCTTTTGGTTGTGATTGCTTGTTCGTTTTGTATCTTTCACTTCTAACTGTCAAGTGAATGCAATAAATTTTCGCGCGGCAGTACACTACACACAATTTCCCAAACTGAAAATACAGAATGAAATTGAACAGTAATGAACCAGGAAAAACGCCGAGAATCGATTGAAAAATCGCATGTAACTGAGGCTCACAAACAACAGGAATACGAGTGAAAAAAAGGCCAACAACAATGACGAAGACCAAATACAAGTTGAATTTTATTTCTGAATTGTTTGATCGATGCCGTTTATAAAGCGTGAGCAACAAACAAGTGCACCGAATTTTCGTTGGGCAAAAAACTTTTTTTCTTCTCTCTCTCTCTTTTCATTGGCTTTATGTATGTGTGTATGGCGATTGTGTTCATTCAGTTAACTCTTTGAAATTCATTTTTGATTTTTATTTGAAATTTTTTTCAATGGGATTTTATAAGCCAATATGTGCTCACATTGTCATGGGTATATACGACGTGCATTGGCCTTTACCAGATTTACTGAGAAAAGTGAAATAAAAAAATGGCAGACAGATTGATGTGTGTACGCCTATAAAAATTACAACTCAGCAGCCGTATAGCCGCCGAATTCTATGTGACAGAAACATTCGATTTTCACGCCATGTGAAAATGTGAATTCATTGAACTTTGTTTCTTTTTTTAAAAAAACCTCATGAGTTCTACGAAAAAAACAGTAGCTGTTTTCTTTCTATTTCGTCTACGATGTGAATGAAAGCCACTGATGAATGAAGCAAATGCTCTGGAATCAATTACAAAATGTAAAATGAATTCACACACAAATGGCCCGAATTACATTTGAAAAAAGAAATTCATTAAATAGCTCTTGACATGTGAATGATTCAATTCGTTGTTGGCCTTGATTAATTTTCTATTTTCGTGTGTTGCTTTTTTGCTCATCTTTTTGGATAGATGTACGTGTGCTGTTGTGTCGCATCAACAATATATCACCGTTTAAATGACAATGGCAAATCTCTAATTGCTTATAGCTACCTAAAAACGGAAATATCTTCAGTCCACACCCATTGCGATCAATCGATCGATTCAGTTGTTAACATGTTTCAATTGGTTTATTATTCATTTTGATACAAATACATTATTGCGTTTCATCTGGCTAATATGCCCGTTTAAGAGGTAGATAGACTATTCTAATAATATACAATCACATTCTATTTTTTTCATTCTTTTCGATATAATATTCGCTCAAATTTCAACAACAATCAAATGGAAATGACAACCAAATGTTGAACAAAAACAAATTTTCCCAACACGAAATTAAACCGTTTGAATTAGAATCATATATAAATAGATCAATATGATGAAATGGTGCGCACAGTCAAAATCATTGATTTGATGCGTTTTGTAAACAATTCATTGAAACTAAACTACTATTTATGCGTAAAATGATGGACTAAGGCGCACATTTTGTGTTTGTATAGAAAACAAGAAACCAAAACACGTAAAAAAACGGGAGAAAGAGATTTCAATGCAATGTTTACGCATTAAAAAAAAATGATTACAAACAAAGAATACACAACTAAATTTCTTCATCGAGGGCGAATGCTAGCGCGCTTGATCGCTCGTTTTCGGTTTCGCAAAAGAATTTTACACAAAACATGAAACCTAAATGTATATAATGTAGCAAAAAAAAAAAAACGATGGAAAATTTGCGTATTTTATCGACATAATAATCGATATTGCTTACATTTTTACCATGGCCCGTTGATACAATATATTGCGAACTGTACAAAAATTAGAATAAAAAACCATTTTTTTATTATTATTGTTGTTACAATAAATGTTGGAAAAAGTACAGTTATTGAAATTGGCATGTTGCGCGGCATATACAACAAATCCAGACCATTCACTTTTTTTTATGATGATTCATATGCAGGAAACATGCTCGAAACAAGCAAAGCACAAGAAAAAAAGACTATATTAAATGAATATTTCTCGTTTGCTTAAGAGATTGTCTTGAAAGCAGATTTCATATTTCAGTTTTTTCGGTTTCATTCATTTTCTTTAAGCAATTTTCTAAATGTTATCTACATTAAAAGTTCCAATCATCAGGGTCATTTTCTTCTTCTTCTTTTTTCGCATTTTGTAGACGATTTTTTTTCTTCATCATCACAAAACTTTATGAATGGTTTGTTTTTCAGTTTCTGGTAATTTTCTCTTTTTCGCCGGCAATGTGCAAAAATTTTGTGTTGTGGCAATAGAACTAAATGATTTTTTTTTTAAATACGTAGCGAGAGAGAGAGGAGAAAAGAAATAAAAAGAAAAAATTCAGCGACAAAGAAATGCGTACGGGACATTGACATAGATAATCGACATGTTAGCTAAATCATCGACGCACGATAAATGCACAAGCATTTTTTTTTTCATTGTAACTAAAGTCTGCGCACACTCGCAGTCGATCGGCGCACACAAAGTCAACGACAGCAATGATAAAATAAAAT